AATATTTCACCCAAAGCGGACTACAGATTTAACTCGCCGGGACCGCATCAGAACCAAAAAGGCGGTTCCGGACTGAGTCAGGGTGGCAAATTTGCGGCTTAAGGCGCATGAGTCAACCTTGAATTCTGTTGGTAGGCCTGGTGGGACCTAAAAGGGCTGTAATTGCTTTGCAGTCCGGATGCTAAAGCCTTTTGGGGAGAAGCAAATGGCAACCAGAGAGCTTCTACTCATTTCAATATTACGAATTTAGCTAAAAGTCTTACATCATTTTAAGCAATCCAAAGATTCTGCGGATTTAATGCAACAATTTTCATTTATGCAACCAGAAAAGGCGTCATTCCATCTTAGGACAGCCGACGCAGTAACACTAGCCGTTGATATCGAAATGTCAGGTTCTACTTGCTATCTACATAAAAATAGTAGAGTCTCTGCTAAAAAGATTCAATTTCCTTCTGTTATAATCTGTAACATTCAGAAGGCGAAGCGTAAGGAATAAGTACAATTCGAGCTTTAGTAATAATGTCCATAACCAGCAAATTTCGTTCAAGAACAAGTTGAAGATAACCTGAGCTTAGTCACAATTTCTGTTGAATAGATTTATAAGAGTGAACGAATACCGAGAATAGGCATGAAGATATAAGCAGGCCGATCTCGCCAGATGACGGCTGCCAATACACCTTGGACGGCTGTTTGGCTTTCATCGAACTCGGACACGCCATTTTTCTGATCGTGCAACGTCTGCTGACAAGTTCAAAGAAAGATTTCCACTGAGATCAAGCGATTTTCGAATGTGTCGAATGCAGTGAAAAGGAGCACGAAATAAAGTTAGAGCTATTCCTGCTTGATTAATAGATTTAAGGGTGAAGCAAGAATTTAGCCAAACTATTAATGTACACATTCGATTTCACACAAAAAGCTCATAATCTCAAACGTTGAGCAGTATTAGGCAAACATAGGAAGGAGTTTTCCTTAATCTAGACTTACTAAGAGCGATAAGAGGCTCAGTTATGATTACTTAAGCCTATCATTGAAAATTATTTTCCGCATAATTACATACTAACATACCTCTTTACACATTCCCACACAAACTAACAAACACACAGACATACATAGATATTCATGGAAATAAAATGGTTAAATAATTTTACACATCTCGAATTTATTTCGCGCTGAGGCCAACCTCGCTCCAGTATTGTGTCAAACGGTAGTGTCCTGAAATAAATTACATATTTTAAATGATCTCGAAGTCGTAATTTTAAACGAAAAAAGTAATGTAGTCGCTTGTTATGGCAAATATAGCTTTGCTTCGTAGACAATACCATCGCAGAAGTGACCCAAGGGCGCTTGTGGTCATGTGGCGTAATGGTTGACGTGTCAATATTACCCGCTGAACTCTCATGATTCGAGTCCCACTGGAGGTGTTAATAAAACCTACGCGAGGTCGAAACTGCAGTCCCCTTTAGCCTGGTTGAAAATGTCTTCTGGTAAACAAGGTCATGGGAATTTTAGTGGAAATGCAAAGGATTAGTCATACGATTGTGGGAAAATTCAACTACCATTCTTCATCAAATTAAATGAAACAAAGTTTTGTCGTAGATACAAAAAGACTACATTTGCCTACCAGGCTTTGCTGAACGGACGGTTTCGCAATTTGAGTTTGTTGCACTGTCCACAATTGGTACTGTTCCCGTGACCGATGCCTTCACTTGGCATGTTTCGCTGACCGTGCTCCAAGAACCGTCTTCTACGAGTCCGGCTCCAGCAGTGTTGACCTTCTGTCCACTGACAGTCCTGTATGAATTTTCGTTGGTTGGTCCGTTGGAGGATGAGACATTTGCGCAGGTCCTGTTGGCTGCTAGGGCCGCAATCACAGCGTCCAGGTAGCCGGCAGCCTTCTCGACAGTTGGAGCCCGCAGCTCTTCACAGACAGTCACCTGTCCCCGCGAGGAAGTGTACACTTGGTCCTTAGGACCGGCTTGACTGGGGTCATTCGTATCTGTTGGAGTGGCTAAGAGCAGCAGTGAAGGAAGAAAAGGAATTAAACAAGTGTGAATACTTTTCTTGCGTCTGACATCAGCACACAAAAGTGCTGTTTTGGGACTGATTAAAAAAGTTGCCATGGGCACAACCACACCATCATATGAAATTACACAAGACCAGCTATTTTTAATAGACCGAAAATAACTGCCAGCCCAGAAGTTTTTATGTTGTCACAACTCTCTCAGTTGTGAATAATTTGGCCGCAGATAAAAGGACGGAGAAATTTCCCAGTTCCCAAATGACGTTTTATCCAGGGTGGCGCATTTGTATCGAAAAAATTGGCTAGCGCTGAATAGAAGAAGATTCGAGACTCGATCAGTCCCAGAGATTCTGGTTAGTTCTCCGTTTTTCACACCGAAAACAGAGCAAGAATATCTGGCTGCTGTGGTGGGTGCAGGTTACGGCGTGGTGTGGGCAAGTAATACATCCATTCATAATACACTTTATTGAGATAAACGATTTTCATTCAGGTCTGTAAATAAATGTAACATTCATTATAGGGTTGTGCTAATTTATTTTTGGGTTTGGCAGATGATAAGGCCTTACCCCAAAACCCTTTCCTTTTTTATTCACTCCTTTCTACAGCAGAAGACTTTAACCGGTCGGCTTCCACAAAAGTCTTGCGCTTTTCAGAGAGCGGTGGTGCTTTTGACGTTCGGATCAGGTTTAGCATTGGACCTGAGGCCTTGTCAGGTCCATTCTTTTAAGTGAATTCAAAAATAAATACTCGAGTGCTCGAGGCCTTTGCGGCCGCAGGTATTCGTGCTTCGGCGATTTTGAGAGAAAAGAGTCAAAATATCACCACTTAGCCAACTGATTTGAAGATTTCACTTAGGCTAGAATTAGCAAACAACGTTCTCCATCGTATGAACCAAAAAACTATCCATCTAATCTAATTAAAAGTTGTTTAATGAGATGTATTCACCCTATTTCGTGTAAGGTGATGAAGGACTGGTAGTAGAATTTTTCCACAATGATATGAGTTGAGCTGACATTTCCATTGAATTTCACATATCATTGTGGGAAAATTCTACTACCAGTCCTTCATCACCTTACACGAAATAGGGTGAATACATTTCATTACACTGATTTACTGGTAGTCTCAAAACCCTACTTTCATACGAATAAAAGTTGTTTGACCTTGGTTTCGCGACTTGGTCATATTAGCAAAATTTTTTTGAATTTAAGTAGATTCGAGACTACTATTAAATCAGTAATATGAGATATATTCATCCTATTTCGTTTTAAGGTGATGAAGGACTGGCAGTAGAATTCTCCCACTATGATATGAGTAGAGCTGAGATTTCCATTGAATTTCACACAGCCTTGCTTTCCCAAAAGTTGTTCTCATCCAGACAGAAGTGGACTGCCGTTTCGATCTCGCATCGGTCTTATCAACCACCCCAGCGGGAGTCGAACCTTGACAATGTAGAATGTGAGCTTGATACGTTAAACACTCGGTCATGGGTCACAGGCCTTCATCACCTTAAAACGAAATAGTGTGAATACATCTCATATTACTTATTTACTAGTACTCTCGAAACTCTACTTACAAACGAAAAATAATTAACGTAGTCGATTGTTATAGCAAAAATACGTTTGCTTCATGCACAATCCCACCAAATAATGTGATATGGGAAAAGGCCTGGCCTCCGTTGAAATTTGCATCTGCTCTGTGACCTAAAAACATTCGCGACAATGTAGTTGAGTGGTTAACGTATCACGTTCAGATGGTTCGACTCCTGCTGGGGGTGTTGATAGGAGCGATGCGAGGTCGAAACTCAAGACCACCCTGGATGAGAACAACTTTTGAGAAAGCAAATCTGTGAAATTCAATGGAGACGTCAGATCTACTCATTTCATTGTGGGAATATTCTACTGCCAGTCCTTCATCATCTTAAAACGAAATAAGGTGAATAGATCTCATGTTGGCAGGAAAATCTA